CACTAAATCCCGGGTAACCTCTGCTATCTGAAGCGTTACTAAACCAGCCAACCTAAGCTGAACGGTACACCTGTAAGGTCACATTGAAAGAATAACACGTGAGCGCCGGAGGAGCTTTAAAAGAGGCGGACCTCGAAGTGCGCTAAAAATGGAGGATTTATGAATGGAGTCTGGTATGTTAGCATTACTGCTAATTGTCGCCCTGTTTCCCCTCCCACAGAGTCCGAATCATGGCGGTCCAGGTGTCCGAGTCCGACCAGATCAAACAGGTAAGTGACCCCAAGAGTTTTCATGTCGACTCTGAGAAAAGAGGCTCAGAATTCAGAGGCACAAAGTCCGGTTACTGTGGCCTCCAGGGTCCATAGAAAGCCCGCACTGAACTATACAGCAAGGAGGCCTGTGAGGGACAAAACAGGAGAGAGCGACAGAACCGTAGGTAAAAATAAATAGATAAAAATAGAATCAATCAAAACAAACTCAAATACCGTCAATGCCAGAACACTGTGGCAGCTTATTGGGACCAATACTGGAGTGAGAATGTGTGGAGATATAGATATAGATGTATATCTATGTGCAACAGAAAGTGCACATGTAAAACTGCAGTGTTAAGCGATGCGGTTGAAAAATTTGGGTGCGCCTAAGAAAAACATTTAGGCGCACCAGTGCAACCGTGGCAAAAAGTTAGTCTAGAGCTCTGCATATTATATATTTTAATTTGAAATAATAAGATTAGTATAAAGCAAGAAAATACAACCGAATCACAATTTAGAGATGGAAAAAGTAAGAAAAACATTTTAGGTCAAAAGATAAAGTTTAAGAAGTTAACTTCGTACAAAATCAAGTGATACAGGAAATGGTTTAAAAAGTAAATAAACGTAAAAACAGCAGAGTCTGAGGAAAGCATGACAAACATTTGAGTATTTAAACAATTAAAAAAGACTGAAAAAAACAAAAGGAATTTATCTGAAAGTTTTTTTATTATGACATCATAATCCCAAAAGTCGCCCCGTCGGTTGACCTGGACGTTTTCAGCGGAAGAAACATTTGAATTCATACATTAATGAGAAAAGTTCTTTAAACTAAAAGTCACAGCTTTGATCCAGTGACATCGCTCTGATCGTTTTAACCTGCAGCAGGAAGCCTCTGTCGCACACGCAGGTCTGAGTTAATACATTTGAGCTCCCACCTTGGCTCTTTAGAGCAGCTTCACAGTCTTGGAGCACTTTGAAGAAAACCAAAACTGTTGACTGCATCAGTAAAACTGAGCGTGCCTGAAGCAGCGAGAGGACGGAGGTTAAAACCTGTTTGAGGAAATTTCTTCCCAGACCTGAACCTCGGATCCTTCTCGGTCGTCTCTCAGATTGTTTTGCTGAGTTGCTGCTCTGCAGCAGTTTTCTGAGCTGTGTCTGTTTCCTGTGTTCAGTTTAAGGAGTTTCTGGGGACGTACAACAAGGTGACGGAGAACTGCTTCATGGACTGCGTCCGAGACTTCACCACAAGAGACGTGAAGCCCGAGGAGGTAAAAAAAAAAGATGATTGGATGACGGAAACATGTGAGTGAAGGAACATCTGGATAAAATCCTCACAGCTGTTTGTGTTTCAGTCGAGCTGCTCCGAGTCGTGCCTGCAGAAGTACCTGAAGATGACTCAGAGGATCTCCATGCGTTTCCAGGAGTATCACATCCAGCAGAACGAGGCTCTGGCGGCTAAAGCTGGCCTGCTGGGACAGCCGCGCTGACCCTGAACCTGGGCCAGGCTGGGCCGTGCTGGTCCAGCAGATCCTCCGGCGCTGTAAAAACAAACTCTGAAGCTGCGCGTGAGGACGTTTTGTTGTAGTTTCTGACCTGAAGCTCCGCCCCCTCAGATTCTATCTGCAGGGTTAGTCGGCTGTTCTGTGCATCATGGGAAATGTAGTTTCAGATTCTTTATTAACATGCAGAATATTCATTTAATGTGCACATTTGTCTTTTTATTGAACACAACGACCGACCGATGTGGTGATGATGATGATGATGATGAGCTGACTTCATTTTTCATGTGTGGAAATAAAAATAATCCGACATCAGGAATGTGTGGATGTTTTCATCCCTGTTAGGAAGTGCTTTACTGCATCCGGCCTCACTCTGGCTCTGCTGCAGATCACACAGTCCTGAGAAACGTTCATTTTCTTTTTGTTTACTGTATTTTTAACAACATGCAAAAAGTAACAAAGTTACTCAGTTACTTTTAAAGTGTTTTGCCTGCATTTAACATGAAATGTACTGTGTCTTGCATCATGATTCAGATCATTACCAAATACAATCAAACTCAGAATGATGAGGTCAGATTCTGAATGCAGGTCTTTTATTTTGAGTGTTTGGATTGTGATGTTCGCTCAGTGTGGAGCAAACTGCTTTAAAGACAAGTGCGGTTTCATCAGGATGGACGTGTTTCTATTCAGTTTGGTTTTTATTGAAAAGTAAAAACTAAAATCTTTGTCGTTTTACATTTTTGTGTGGACTTCCTCTGCTTTGTTATTTTAAAAGAAGTCTGTTCAAAGTTTTTCCTTCATTTTGTTCCCAAAGTGAAGGAGGAAGTCTTTCCTGACAATAGAACCATGAGGCAAATGGAGTTTAGTTTGGTCTTTATTGGCTTTTTTCTGTACAGCTCGGCATGAACGGTTTCACATTGCAACAGGAAGTCCAGCACGGCGGCTGACAATAAATAACAAGATGACTGACGGCTCGGTCACCAATTCAGTGACGACGATCAAACGGGAAGTGTGAAGCCGGCCCGAGCAGGCAGCCGGAGCACGGAGAGAAGAAGAGCAGCGCATCCTCGGAGCATCAGTCGTACTCGGCGTCTTTGTCCGACTTCTGTCCTGCGAACGGGCGTCTGTTCCTCTGAACCTGCAGCTGGAAACACACCAAACAGTCAGAACATCTCACACCTTCAGCGCCACAGCCGCCGTCTGTGAGGGCGGGGACACTGAGCGATCAGAGGCAAAACTTCTGCAAACGTGCAGAAGATGACATCATAAAAGTGATCTGGTTTAATCCAGATGATCGGAGGAGCACAGAGGTTTTCTGACTTGACCACTGCTGCTTCAAAGAGACCACAGCGACTCCATTACCCAGAAGCCCTTGCTTTGGTGACATTGGTCTTACCTTGGCGCCCTCGAGCACGTGCGGGTCCTTCTGCAGAGCGTTGTTGAGTCCTTCCTCGGAGGAGAAGCCGATCCAGCAGAAGCCTCTGTGGAAGCCCGTTTCTTTATCCTGAGGACACACAGAGACGTCACTGACGTGCAGGCGCGCGCACGCACACACACAGACGCGCACACACACACACAGACGCAGACACATACACACTCACTGCCACCACCTGCTGCTCACATCGTCATCTCAGGCAGTGCTGACACACTAAAAACATGCAGAGCTGAATTGAGGCATGTGTGTGGCTGTGAGGCTACAGGTGATCACTTCCTGTCGGGTCATGTGACTGTGTGACACTGAGTGATGTCAGTGATGATTACTTACAAACGGCAGCAGGCACTTCTTCACGGCTCCAAACTGCCCGAAGTACTCCTTCATCTCCTCTGAAACACACACAGGAACACGTCAGTCCGAACACCTGAGTGTCTGCACCTCACCTGTCCTGCTTCCTCTCACATCCCCTCACATCTGCCGTCATCTAGTGCTTCGAGTGGGTAGTGTCTCACACATCACAGCCTGTCCAGCCCCTCCCTCGACCCCACGGAGGATGCCATCACCCTTCACACAGCGCTGAGCTATCTGGAGAACAGGAAGAGCTCCATGAGGATGCTCAACACCAAACTGGACCACCTTCAGATTCCCTGATCCTGGGATCCAGAGAATAACCTGAAGCTGAACATCCTTAAAACCAAAGAACTTATAATGGACCTCAGGAGGCACAGACAGGTCCACTTCCCCCCTCATTATAAACGGAGAACGGGTAGAATCTGTTTCCACCTTCAGGTTTCTGGACACCTACATCTCCCCTGATCTCACCTCCGACCTACAACACCATCGCCGTGGTAAAGGAGGCCCAACAGTGGCAGCACGTCCTTGGTGTCCTGAGGAAGAAGAACCTGGACCTGCTGCTGGCCTTCTACTGCTCCTCAGTTGAGAGCGTGCTCTCCTCATTCAGGTCACTCACACACAGACTGTTCACACCAAGTCTTTTCTACCTCGGAGCACTTTGCTCTCCACTGTGGGCCTTCCTGTTGTTTCTCTACATATTCCTCCTTATTTATTCCTGTTGTCTACTTTTTATATTTTATTCCTGCACAGCGGTGGAGCACCCACAGTTACAATAAACGCATATTCTATTCTATTCGTGCTTCAGAGTGTGGACGGAAGCTCAGGATCAGTCAGAGGATCACTCAACTGTGACTCAAGCAAAACTGCTCTGACGTCATCAGCGTGGCCTGTATTAAGGGCAGTCTTTTAACGTGAACTGCCTCAGGTAAAACACCGGTAAGCTGCAGACACGTGACTGACCTACCGGACACCTTAGTGCACGTTAAATTCTTCCCTTCTTCGCGTGCTAATCTACCTGACGATAATCGACACGCGTGATCGGCTGCACACGTCACATGTCGTCACTAAAATCAAACCTGACTGATTGATAATGAGCAGACTCACTGGTGGCCACAGTCCACGGCACTTTGGACACGAACACCTCGAACACTTTCTTGGACGCCGCCATGTTGCTCCCTCTGACCTGTGACGTAATGGTGCGTTCAGGGCCCTGGGTAGCGTCTGATTGGTGGGTGCAGGAGTTTAAATATGTGAATTCTTTCAAGCCTAACTTTGAACAAATTTATTTTTCAGAGTTGGTTGTTCTTCCGTTTTTCTCTCAAATCCTTTTAACCAATATTTCGATGTGTCTGCATTTTATTTGTAATCTATTTCTTATTCCTGATCAAGGCTCTGAATAAAATCATTTTTAAGAAAAATTTATTTCCGAGGTTCAGTAAATGCAGCTTCGATCACGTGATTGAGCACCGTGACCCGCGTGCACAGTGACATTGAAACATGTTACAGTTTGTCTCTCCCCGCTCGCGCTGTTAACTGTTTAAATATCTGTTTGTTTGTTTGTTTGTTTGTTTGTTTGTTTTGTTCTTTCATTTTTGTTAGTTTTTACTTCCGGAGCAGGGCGTGCAAGACAGTGACGTCATGGCTAAGATGGCAGCCTCCATGGTGGAGGGTGGAGAGGATTCGTTTCGGAAGATATTCAAGTTTTACAGGAGAAGGAACCCCCCGCCGGACCTTAGCGACGTCATCGACTTTTCCAGGTGTGCGCCCGGTGAACAGGTGAGAGCAAAGCGCGCTCCCGGCGTTTAGCAGCCATCTTTCTCCTTGTTCTTCTTCATGGGTCAGTTTGAAGTTTGACTTCTCTGACCAACAAAGTGAACAGTTCCACAGGTTACCTCCACCTGCCCTCATCTGTCCACTTTCATTTCTGATCAAACTCACCTGGATCGATTATTTCATCGATCATACCGATGACTGTGTGTCACAGAGGGAAGTTTGAAGGTGGACTGGTTCAGGTCTGCTGAAGAACAGGTGCAGACAGCACCTGAGCGAAAATGATTTTACAACCCTGACGTCTGCTAATGATGTGTGTGCAGTGTTGGGAAGGTTACTTTTAAAATGTATTCCATTACAGAATACAGAATACATGCCCCAAAATGTATTCTGTAACGTATTCCGTTACGTTACTCAATGACAGTAACGTATTCTGAATACTTTGGATTACTTAATATATTATCATGCTTTTTACAACAACGTGAATGTACTATTGCTGTGTGATTTATTACTATTACTGAAGGTCCGCGACTCCGAACTGTAGTAAAGGGACCTCTGACTAATACGGCGGGGTCCCTGTCGGCTCGTAGCCGAAAACTAGCTCTACTTTGTTGTGTGGGTCAACTTTTCTTGCGAGAGACAGAGAGAGGCGTTGAAAGACTGCTCCAACGGAACTTATTGTTTTCGGAGGAAAACACGAACACGGTGTACAGTCGAGTCTTAATAGCTTACTTACAACTGGGCTCGTCAGGCACTCTTCTTGGCTGAAGTGGTTATTATTATATTTACATGCTTCCAGCTCCCATTTTTCCTCGATGACAACTCGTACCTTTCACTCCCCTTTTTCTCCCTCCTCGCGCTCACAGACCCATAACGTGTATGGCAGTCCATTCTCCCTGCAACATGGACTACACTGCCCATGATGCTACATTCTTTAGAGCTATGCTTGTAGCATTCTGCCTGTTAGCTTAGCACAACAACAACAACAACGAAAAGGCGCTCTCTCACCCAGGAAACACACAGTCGCAGAGAGAGAGAGAGCGTCGCCCTGTAACCATGGCAACGGTAACGCTGCCGCCTGGAACAAAAGAACGTAGCTGTCAAACAAAACCCAAACAGTCCTGACCCGCGACAAAATGAAACAGGAAAGTACCGCAGTGTAATCCATTTATTTCAACAAAGTAACTGTACTCTGAATACCACCTTTTTAAACGGTAACTGTAACGGAATACAGTTACTCATATTTTGTATTTTAAATACGTAACATGTATTCCGTTACTCCCCAACACTGTGTGTGTGTGTGTAGATTGTTCCAGTTAACCTCGACACCGCCGCGGTGAGCGATGTGGAAGCCACTAGAGTCGGATTACAGCCCGTCAGAGAGTGGCGAGCCTTCGGCCTGCGAGGACACCCAGGTACACGCTCACGTCAGAGTTTAAATAAAGTTTGGATGCGTGCGGTCTGGTTCAATTCAGTCCGGCTGTAAAGAACCAAATAACAGCGACAGTTGCCTCGCGGCGCCTCGTACTGTGAGGTAAAGCGTAGGGAGAAGCCAGCTCTGAAGCAGGTTACTGAGAGTTAGTCTCATTTTTCCATGTTTCAGGAACTGAAGTGTTTTTAGTTTAGCTCAGTAGAATGGTCTCGACTGTAATGGACAGTTCTGATTGGCTGTCCACTGGGAACGTAATGTCAGCATCGTCTTCATCCAGCGAGTCCTCGCTGGATGAAGACGATGCTCTGCATTCACTCTGCTGTGGCCTGCTGCTGAACACACGAGCTGCTTTATGTCTTTGTTACCTGCTTCATCTGAAGATGGCCCATGAACTGGACCGAGTTTAGTGCTCTGGGTGCACGATGATGATGATGATTCTGCGCTCTTCCTCATCCAGGGTTCATCTTCATCTCCGATCCGTTCCTGCGCGGCACGCAGCCGTTTTGGCTCCAACAGTGTCTGAAGATTTACCCTCAGAAACCAAACATCTGCAACCTGGACATGCACATGTCCCCCTTAGAGACTCAGGACATCTGGGGACAGAGCATGCACAGCCTGAGGTGAGACTCACAGGTGTGTACAGGTACGTGCTGCACAGGTCACAGCAGGAGGAGCTCGACCTCCCGATGAAGGTAAACAGTCTACTACCAGCAGGGGTTACTGCGACGCCACCACAGCCACCAGCTGCTCGGGTGTATCTGCGCCTGGTCATGCGTGCGTGTGCGTGTTTGGAGGTGGCGGTCTGAGCATGGCTAAAGACCATCAGAGCTCTGAGTTTACAGCTGATTTTCAAACCGTTTCGCTTCTTCCAAATCCTCAAATTATGCAAATGACCCAGTTTAAAATGCCGCTTTTTCTCCCCCAACATTCCTCTAACATTCCTCTGATCTTCCCTAAATGTTCCTCAGACATTTCTCCAATGTTCCTCAGATTTTTCCCAAATGTTCCTCTGACATTCACCTGATGTTCCGCTGATGTTGACAGGAGCGCAGATTGTTTCTTTAACCTGATGTTCGTATTGCCATCGTTGGTGTCGAGCAGCTGCTTTTTGTGACCTTTTGCTGTGAAAGCTGAGAGTGAAGTGAAAAAGTGAGGAAGGGTTAGTGTTTATGAGAGTGCAAACAAAACCTCGGAGCCTCTGTTTCCTATTTTATGCAAGAAAAAGCAACTCAAGTGTTTAATTACTGAAAATCCTCGGTGCTCGACTGCTGCAGTGTCTAATGAATTCAGTGCCACCAGGTGGCGCTGTTTTAAGGTCCGCTGTTGTTCAGCTGCTGTCGGATCTTTGAACAAACTGTGTGCCCTCGTCTTCCTCTTTAACCTATTTCAGAATCAGCATACTTTACTGATCCCTAAGGAAATTATGTGGGTTACAGTTGCTCCAGTACAGTAACAGACCAGACTATTTAACAATGCGATGTGTTCCAGATCTACAGATTTAAGAAATAAAACAATATGTAAAACTTTGATCCGCAGATCTTCTGCGGCTGGAAAACGAGAAGCGCGGACTCTCCTGGAGAGGCTGCGCTGGGTCACGCTGGGCTATCATTACAACTGGGACACAAAGGTGAGCATCTGCTTCACCTCTTCGCTGCTGCTCCTCCAGCAGCACAGGCGGGGACGGTTTTAGAGCAAACGTTTGCCACGGTCTGTTGTGGCGCCCTTTCTCTTCATCTCACTCCTCCCCTCCTGTTTGCAGACGTACTCTCCCAGCAGTCACACTCCTTTCCCACGTGACCTCCACCTCCTCTCCGCTCACGTGACAGCTGCCTGCGGCTTCCCTGGCTTTATCTCGGAAGCGGGAATCCTCAACTATTACCGATCAGACTCTTCTCTGGGAATCCACGTGGACGAGTCGGAGCTGGACCACACTCGACCGCTGCTGTCGTTTAGGTGGGACGCTTGTTTTTTCACCGTCGTTATGCGAAGGACATGTTTGAATTCCCTGTTTTTCCGTGTTGTCTTTACAGTTTTGGTCAGTCAGCCATCTTTCTCCTGGGCGGCCCCCACAGACAGGACCCCCCCACAGCCATGCTCATGCACAGTGGGGACGTGATGGTGATGTCAGGGCCCAGCCGCCTTCTGTACCACGCAGTCCCACGAATCCTCCCCCCACCTCCGGGGCGTCTGGCATTAGAGACGGGGGGAAGCATCCAGACCCCCCCACCACAGGAAGGCTCCGTGGTGGAGCCGGTGTCCGAGGAGGAATGGGCTGTCTGCTCCAGGTACATCCAGAGCTCCAGAGTGAATGTGACTGTCAGACAGGTGCTGGCACCTGCACAGAAATTTCCAGAAACTCCCCGTTCTCACCAAACCACGGACCCTGGACAGACGGACGGATGCGATGATGGAGAGAGCAGAAAGAGGAAGAGGAGCAGCAGTGACTCTCCTTATGCTGCAGAGACTCACTGAGGGGACTTACAGCACGGGCCTCCATGAAGGACGGCTTCTGCTTGGTTACTGGGTTTATTTGTTAAAGGATTTATGTGGGTCAGTGTGTAGATGCTGCCAGAGACGGGACGAGACCCGATCTAAAGATGAACTCTTAGGAGTCGGTGCTAATCTGGATCTGTTAATCTGTTAAAATGATTGTTTAACGATTGTGTGAATACAGTCCATGATTCAGTGAGCAGTAGTCATGAAGAAAGAAGATATAATCCAGTACCCAGATCGAGGTCTATGTATGTATGCAATGTTCCCTCTAAGCTGTGCACATGCGCACTGCTGGCACGTCTCTGCGCACAGAACATCTGCGTTGCGCACAAAAAAAATCTAACCTGAATTGAAATTAAAACTTTAACAATCCTGTTTTGCAGTGTGAGTCAGTGACTGGCTGCTCCCATATGGGATCAGAACGATGCCACCGTATCCCATAGTCCAGCCAATGATGCGATTCACATTCGTATATACGCAGCTAACCAACGTGGTTGACAGGCTATGACACGTTAATGACAACGTGTACAACCATTGGAGACGTGAGCAGGACAGACGGAACAACTGACAGGAAAAGTGTGGACTTTATACCAGTTTTTAAATTGTGTTGATCGTTGTTTATATTTACTGCAGGAAGAAACGGTAAAAACATTGTTTTATAAGGAAACGCTCGAAAGCCTGTGAGCAAAAACAAAACCAAAAACACCCTCACTGTGAGAGATTTGCACCATAGTTAGTGTGTAGTGTAGTCAATAGTTTTGTTGTGTGTGTCAGAACAATGATGCAGAACAGCTGATTGTGCTGTAAATAGTTGGAAACACCTTTAAAAAGAAAATTAAAAATTAAAAAAAAAAAAAATATATATATATATATATATATACATATATATATATACATATATATATATATACATACATACATACATACATACATACAGTGGGGCAAAAAAGTATTTAGTCAGCCACCGATTGTGCAAGTTCCCCCACTTAAAATGATGACAGAGGTCAGTAATTTGCACCAGAGGTACACTTCAACTGTGAGAGACAGAATGTGAAAAAAAAATCCATGAATCCACATGGTAGGATTTGTAAAGAATTTATTCGTAAATCAGGGTGGAAAATAAGTATTTGGTCACCTCAAACAAGGAAAATCTCTGGCTCTCACAGACCTGTAACGTCTTCTGTAAGAAGCTTTTCTGTCCCCCACTCGTTACCTGTATGAATGGCACCTGTTTGAACTCATCATCTGTATAAAAGACACCTGTCCACAGCCTCAAACAGTCAGACTCCAAACTCCGCCATGGCCAAGACCAAAGAGCTTTCGAAGGACACCAGGAAAAGTATTGTAGACCTGCACCAGACTGGGAAGAGTGAATCTACAATAGGCAAGCAGCTTGGTGTGAAAAAATCAACTGTGGGAGCAATCATCAGAAAATGGAAGACATACAAGACCACTGATAATCTCCCTCGATCTGGGGCTCCACGCAAGATTTCATCCCGTGGGGTCAAAATGATCATGAGAACGGTGAGCAAAGATCCCAGAACCACACGGGGGGACCTGGTGAATGACCTGCAGAGAGCTGGGACCAAAGTAACAAAGGTCACCATCAGTAACACACTACAACGGCAGGGAATCAAATCCCGCAGTGCCAGACGTGTTCCGCTGCTGAAGCCAGTGCATGTCCAGGCCCGTCTGACGTTTGCCAGAGAGCACATGGATGATACAGCAGAGGATTGGGAGAATGTCATGTGGTCAGATGAAACCAAAGTAGAACTTTTTGGTATAAACTCAACTCGTCATGTTTGGAGGAAGAAGAATACTGAGTTGCATCCCAAGAACACCATACCTACTGTGAAGCATGGGGGTGGAAACATCATGCTATGGGGCTGTTTTTCTGCCAAGGGGACAGGACGACTGATCCGTGTTAAGGACAGAATGAATGGGCCCATGTATCGTGAGATTTTGAGCCAAAACCTCCTTCCATCAGTGAGAACTTTGAAGATGAAACGAAGCTGGGTCTTCCAACATGACAATGATCCAAAACACACCGCCCGGGCAACAAAGGAGTGGCTCCGTAAGAAGCATTTGAAAGTCCTGGAGTGGCCTAGCCAGTCTCCAGACCTCAACCCCATAGAAAATCTGTGGCGGGAGTTGAAAGTCCGTGTTGCTCGGCGACAGCCCCAAAACATCACTGCTCTCGAGAAGATCTGCATGGAGGAATGGGCCAAAATACCAGCTACTGTGTGTGCAAACCTGGTAAAGACCTATAGTAAACGTTTGACCTCTGTTATTGCCAACAAAGGTTATGTTACAAAGTATTGAGTTGTTGTTGTTGTTGTTGTTTTGTTATTGACCAAATACTTATTTTCCACCCTGATTTACGAATAAATTCTTTACAAATCCTACCATGTGGATTCATGGATTTTTTTTTTTTTTTCACATTCTGTCTCTCACAGTTGAAGTGTACCTCTGGTGCAAATTACTGACCTCTGTCATCATTTTAGGTGGGGGAACTTGCACAATCGGTGGCTGACTAAATACTTTTTTGCCCCACTGTATATGTATGTATATATATATATATATATATATACACACACACACACACACATTGGGTGAATGTGCAGTAGTAGCAGCAAGCAGGTGAATTCTGTACATTAATATGAATAGACATCTGACTATTTTACAGGATAGACAATATAAACATATTTAAAATTAAAGGAATTGAAATGTACATTGTGCCTTGATTTAGTGTCTGGAAGAGAGTCCTGTCTCAGTCAATTATAGATGATGTGAGAGGGCGGGTGTGTGTTTAGGGCACGGGTGGCTTGGGGATAGAAGCTCCTCTTGAGTCTCTCTGTCCTTGCCCGGAAGATGCGGAACCTTCTACCAGATTGCAGAAGTTGGAACAGTTTGTGGGACGGGTCCTTCAGTATCTGCGCTGCTCTAGTCCGGCATCTCCTGGTGTAGGTGTCCTGAAGCGGGGGGAGAGCAATCCTGCAGCAGCGTTCTGCTGTACGGATCACTCTCTGGAGAGCTTTTTGGTCCTTCACACAGCTGTTCCCAAACCACGATGTCATGTCATCATCAAGGACTCCAGTCACCCCAGCCATAAACTGTTCAGACTACTTCCATCAGGAAGGAGGTTCTGCAGCATCCGGTCCCGAACCAGCAGACTGAGAGACAGCTTTTTCCACCAGGCCATCAGACTGCTGAACACGTCATAGACACCTCACCTTCACTACTGGAACTTTAACATTATGCACTCCATACTGTACAGTAATGCCACTGTTTTGCACATGTCTCAACTCTGTATATTTTTATATATTTTATTTATTGTTTACTCTATTTAATTTGTAAAATATGTGTATACACACACACACACACACGTAGAAAAATATTTAGTATACACATCCAGAAATGCATATACTATTGTACATATATTTATTAGTTTCAGATGTAGCCATTCTTGTATTTTGCTTGTTTACATTATTGTATTTTGCACAACTCTGTTGCTTGTGAAGCTCGCACACAAGAATTTCACTCACATGTACTGTACCAATGTACCTGCACATGTGATGTGACAATAAAAGTGATTTGATTTGATTTGATGTTCTGTGTGAGGATGCTCTCCACAGCACCTGTATAGAAAATCCTGAGGATCTTTGGAGAGACCCTGAACTTCCTCAGTTGTCGTAGGTGATACAGGCGCTGCCTAGGCTTTTTGGTCTGGACCTGAATGTGGGCAGCCCATGTCAGGTCTGAGGAGATGTGAACACCAAGATACTTGAAGGACTGCACACTCTCCACTGGAGCTCCATTGATGATAATGGGCTTGTAGTCTCTGTGCTGACCCCTTCTGAAGTCCACCACCGTTGTTGGAGATGGCACCCAACACCACTGTGTCGTCAGCAAACTTCATAATGGTGTTGGCGCCATGGGTGGCCACACAGTCTGAAGTGTAGTGGGAGTAGAGCAGTGGCGAGAGGACACATCCCTGAGGTGCTCCTGTGTTGATGGTGATGCTGTTGGAGAAGCACCTGCCCACCCTCACCACCTGAGTTCTGCCAGTGAGGAAGTCCAACACCCATGCACACAGACGGCTGTTAAGTCCCAGATCCCTGAGCTTTGTGAACAGTCTGCAGGGCACTATTGTGTTAAACGCTGAACTGTAATCAACAAACAGCATTCGCACATAGTTACCCTGTTTCTTGTCCACATGGCTGAGAGTGGTGTGTAGGACGTGGGCGATGGCATCCTCTGTGGATCTGTTGGATCTGTAGGCAAACTGCAGCGGATCTGTGGTGTCTGGGATGGAGGAGGAGATGATGTTCTTCAGCAGCCTCTCAAACACCTTCATTACTACCGAGGTCAGTGCAACTGGCCGGTAATCGTTCAGGGATGAGGGTTTGCTGTTCATGGGCACAGGGATGATGGTGGATCTTTTGAAGCATATGGGGACCACAGACTTCGCCAGGGACTCGTTGAAGATGTAAGTGAACACACCTGCTAGCTGGTCAGCACAGCAGCGCAGCAGACGGCCGGTGATGCCGTCTGGCCCCGCCGCTTTCCTTGTGTTCACTCTCCTCAGTGCCGCTCGGACATCATGCTCCGCGATGCTGGTCACCGGTCTCTCGCTGATGACGTCACTGTCCTCGGTAGTCAGGTGGTAGATAGCATTAGCCGATGCAGGATTTGAATCCCATCTTGTGTTAATGTTGCCAAGAACTCCTAATACCTGACAACTTCTCTCAATAAGTATGACGGATAGACATCGTAAATTGAAAACACCAGAAATTAACATTGAAACAAATTACAAAGTCTCCTGAGAAACCAGCAAAAATTGCCATAGCTGACTGTGTTTCAAGTCATCAAGGCGGGAATTGGTTAAAGTTTTCAACCAGCAATAATCACGTCTCAGTAGAACTTCATAGACTATGAAATTGCCTCTGCACAAGAATGACCAGTGAGTTTCAGCTTTTCAGCTGGGTATGAATCAACACTCACATCACTGATGGTGCACTTTGAAATGTTGGGTGATGCAGGAACTAAGTGGGTTTGAATTGGGGGATTACTCACGTGATTGGTTGATCATTTGGAAATCCCGCCCATTTATTGGCTCAGTTAATTGTATGCATTGACCAAGAGCAAAGGGTCAATACTTTTGTTGCGGCTCTTCCAACCAGTGGCCGCGGCAGGATAAACATGAGGACACCGATGACGCGCAACAATTAACGCACAAAACACTTCTGTATCATTTGCTTCTTTATTTACACATGCCACTGTCCAAACTACAAATCAGCACATGGGATCAACTGTCAAACAAACGCACAG